GAGAGAGAGAGAGAGAGAGAGAGAGAGAGAGAGAGAGAGAGAGAGAGAGAGAGAGAGAGAGAGAGAGAGAGAGAGAGAGCAACGGATCCCCTTCACATGTATCAGAGGGCCCATGCAGGTAATCTGAAGGGTCCTCGCAGCATTAGCGCAGACCCTCCACCAAAATCGAGGCAGGCAGTGAATATGAAGTGGAGCACGAGCTGGCCGAATATATACTCAGGATTCGAATTCAGGTCTGTGTTTCAGCAGTTATGGGTTGCTCACTTATCTAGGCCCTGTTGGTCTCTGCACGTGATTCGCCGGGCTTGGCTGCACTTCTCACCAAATGTGCAAAATTAGAATGAATCTTTTGCTAGAACGTGGAATAATGCGCCGCCATATGTGTTGTCTTTTGTGCATGTGGTGAGTAGAGGCCCTTAGGGCCACTGCACGTATTCCTAAGAAAAGAAAAACGAGAAAAAAGAGAATTAGTGACCCATAACCGTGATGCACAGACCTGAATTCGCATCCAGACTATATATTCTCGGCCCACGCATACAAACTGAAAGCTTAAAGTCTATCTCTGCTCCTCGTGGGGTCCTCACTAATTCGCTGTAGGGGCCCTTCGGAAAAGAGACTGGACACAATCAGGACATGCACACCCACACGCACACACATGTGCCCACAGGTTTGGGGTATGGCGTGGCCTCAACTTTTTCCCCTCTTGCTTTCTGATTTTTAAAAGCAAGGGGCGTGTTTGGCCACCCCACCCTGTCCTTTCAATTCTTTTTTCTTTTTTTCTTTTTTGGTGATGCGCCGCATCATGTGTGTGCGCGTGCATGCGCGTGCGCTCTGTGCTGGATGTGCCGCAACCTCGCGCACGGGATGTGCCGCAAGGATGGTCGAAAGGTAGGTCAGGTCACTGATGGTCCCCGGAATGAGTTCGTCTCTAGACGACCGGCAGCAGGGGCACTTGGCGACCTGGGCGGGTGAAAAGTAGTGACGATCTTTTCTTTTCTTTGCATTGAAAAGTTGGCCAATTCTGCACCAACCATTTCTGCGCACAGCGCCGCAAACGAGTGGTTTGACATGCTGGAAGGATAGCTGATGATCTGGTGCAACCTGCACACATGTAACCGCTAAAAAATAGAAGTCAGCCCCTCACTCTGTGCAAATGGCAGTAACCAAAAGGTAATAAAGTAGGCAATGTGGTAAAAAAGAATGGCTAAAAATAGTGTGCTGATTGCTCTGCAAATCACATATCCTGTCGTGTTTATCCTACAAATCACATATGCCGTCGTGAGCAAACTCAGCACTCGCAGACCTTGACCAAAATAAAACAGGGCCAAAAAAAAAACAAGAAAAGCTGAAAAACATTATCCCCAAATGCACTTTTCTGTGCTGGGGGGGTTAACCAGGGCTGAAAAGTGGGGGTCCCTGTTAACCGCTTGTGAAGAGGGTAGCAAAGCACACCGATTTTCGGAAATGATCGACAGTAGGAAGGGGTGGCAAAGATGGGGTCCACCATCCCATCAAGTCTGAGTCTTAAAAAAAATAAAAATAAATAAATCCTCCAACACAGACTTCAAATCTGACCTCCCCACTGGTTGAGTACAACGACAGGCACCCCCGGAGTATGTATAGCACGAGCATATACGGAGGTTGATGAGAACACAATCACAAATATGAAATCGACGGCCGACCTTAAATGAGATAGAAAAGCACCGGGAAAGGACAAAGCAAAAAACAGTACGAAGTTGACAACAGAGGAGAGAGAAGGAGAGAGAAGGAGAGAGAAGAGAAGAAGAAGAAGGAAGAGAGAAGAGAAGAAGGAGAAGAAGAAGAAGAAGAAGAAGAAGAAGAAGAAGAAGAAGAAGAAAGACCAAACGTGACGATGCATGTCCTGAACGCAACTTGAATGCAAAAGAAAAAGACATGAAGCGAGGACATGGCGAATGACCCAGATATTCTGTTTAATTTTAATGAAGCATGGACATGGCGAATGACCCAGTTATTCTGTTTAATTTTCCGTGTAACCGGTGGCCCCAGTTATTTCCGGGTTGTGTGTGAGATATTCCCGGTCTCTACTTGTTTTGTAATAAAATGGTTCATAATCATAACTTCGTGTTGAAAAACAGGAGGAAGATGACCAAGAAGAGTCCGTGGGCCTCACCATACCACTCACCAAATGTGTAAAATGACCCACAGACTGAAATAAAATACACGACATCGTCGTGTCTTTTTCACATTGGGTGAGTCGTGCATTTCGGTCAGTGTATCTTCAGCTAGAAGAGGTGGAAAGAGTACACCGACCGAAATAGACAGACATCGTGGTGTCTTTTTCACATTTTTGGTGATAGCTGGAGCGAGGTCCTGCGAAGATGCAAATGTATGTTGTTTCTATGCGAGGTTGCTGTCTTGACATCGGATTCCTCGCCGCTGTCATCTTTTTTTTTTTTTTTTTTTAAGCACAATGGCCTTGAGAAGGCATTATTGAACGGACCGGCCCCAGGTAATTCAGAATTCTTTTGTTCGTTTTTTTTTCTTCTGAAAAACTAGTCTAAATTCTTCTCTCAATATGCCTCCCACTACCTACCTACCTACCTAGCCCGGAACGCCACAGTCTTTATGTATGGACCACAAGCCAGCTACACCAAGGGTTATGGGTTGAGCCTATCCCCTCAGGGTTGAGCCTATCCCCTCAGGGTTGAGCCTATCCCCTCGGGGTTGAGCCTAACTCCCAGCAATGGGTGGAAGGGATATTGGCACTCCCCGCCAACCAACTTGGAGAATAATTTTGTTCTGTTCATCAGACTGCAGCTGGATTCAAACTGGGGTCTGTATTTCAACAGCTCATGGGTTTAGTGACTGAGCTAGGCCCGTTGGTGTTGCTGTGATTTCTTATATGGGTGGCATTGCTCCCTCTTCACTATTCTCTCTCATGTTTCCGTATATGGATTACCCATCTCAATATTTACTAAGGTAAACCGCCAAGATTGACTGTTGAAATGCTGAAATTTGACTGGATGTCCTGTATCTGCGTGGTGACGGAATGGTACACGGCGACTACACGCACGTGACGACTGTTAATAAACAGGTCATGAGGTCCAATCCACGTCGAAACAACAATCTTACGGGCTAACCTCCTTCACCAAAGGGCTAATTTGAAATTTGAAATTTCTAATTTCAAATAATAATTTGACGTTTTGGTCAGACCTGGTAAATTCCTCTGCGCCGTCCCCGCCCCCACTTCTCATCTGAGTCCACAAAGGTTGGCTGTTGTTGGCTGAGCTGAGCAGATGAATGCTGAGAGATCACAGACAGAGACGACCCCACCGATGGGAATGCGAGAGGACGTAACAGGGAATGCATCACAACAGCAGGCCAATGGCAAGGAGGACTCAGCACAGCGCCCCCCTCAGAATTTCCAGTTTTTCCTGGCCGAGGTATGTTGAACGCTATGACCCTGCCCGCACCCTCCCTCCCTTCTTGACCCTCGGGGACTTGGGGAGGCTTTGCTGTGGAACAGGTTTTGAACATTTGCTCTCCTTGTTGACTGGGCCAATTTTCGTGTGCGCATCATTCACAACTGGAAGCGTGTAATTTCTGCATTCGAAAGAGCATGTGTGTGCGGGTATGTGTGCGTGTTGCATGCATGTGCATTTGTGTGTGTGTGTGTGTGTGTGTGTGTGTGTGTGTTGCATGCATGTACATTTCTGTGTGTGTGTAGGCGGGTGGGTGGGTATGTGTGTGTGTCGCATGCATGTACATTTGTGTGTGTGTGTGTGTGTGTGTGTGTGTGTGTGTGTGTGTTTCAGATACTTGTATGGAGCTTTGTGTTTGATTGGATTTTTCCTCAGCAGTCTGTGGACAGGACTGCGCATTTGGCTCGTCAGCGGGGTCACATAGAGATAGGGGATTTTAGTTTTATCAACTTTTATGGGAGGCAAGCACGCACGTTGTAGTACTGCAATTTGTATGGCTGTTTGCGATTCCATGTATCTGATCCTCGGCCGTTGTTTCAGATAGTTTGACATGTTAGGTATGGAGGCTTGAACTGTTTTCCTTTGACTACTAAGTATGATCAAGCACAGTATCTGTTTTGGGGGAGAAGGGGGGGGTTACGGGGTAAAAGGATGGCATGCTAGTTTTTGCTCAAGCAACTTTGAGTTTAAGTTTATCTAATTATATCCCTTTTTTTCCACACTTTGTTAACGGCGACCCCCACTTTTTTATTTCTCAAGACTCAAGAGTTTAACTAACATCCTGTCATGACCTTGAAGGATTTCTGCCTCTCCTTTTTCCCCAACACTCAATTTCCAGTCCATGTGCAATGCTCCTGGTAATTGATGTCCAAGAGACGATCGCATAATTGTCTGTAAAAAATTATAAAAAAATACTAAATGCTCCCCACCAATAGATGGAGCCTCTCCTCAGGTGCTAGTGGTGTCTGTTCTTACCAGCACCAGGGAGTTTAATTTAAAAAAAAAAAAAAAAAAAAAACTTGCATGTCAGAATCCACCCACACGTCCACACACGTCCGCTCACACAGCTTTCACCTGCACCAGACACATTCTCAAAAAAGGTATGTGTGCGAACGAAGAGCAACATGCAGAGAGGCATACTTGGGACGCTTGGAGTTATCGTAGCGGCTATTTCTACATAGTAAAAACTTACTAAAATAGACTGCTGGAGGCGTACAATTCCCATAATTTCATTTCATTTCATTTCATGTGTGAAAGGAGAAGCGAAAGCGTAAAAACAGACCACTGGAGGCATACGAGTCCCATAATTTCATTTCATTTCATGTGTGAAAGAAGAAACGAAAGCGTAGTATTTGTTGAATTTCGTTCTGATTTAATATCTGATGCGTCGTGGTCCATTCCGTCATTCGGGAAAAAACTCTAAAAAACTTGAAAAAAGAGAAAAAAAGTCTCAAAAAGACTCAAAAAGACTGAAAAACAAAAGGTATATGTTTCCCTTAAAAGGAGTGGGAAGGAGAGAGGTAGGTGAGGAGGGTTGCAGATAATGGTTGGAGTGAGAGGACTTCCGCTTTTTTCTTCATTTGGGCTAAGGGTTGTGCGAACATCACCTTGCTCTTCCATTGGGGAGGAGTTCAATCATAACTTCAGTGCGCATGTTCATATGCCAGCCGCCATACGTCCATTTGATATCTTGATGAAAATCCATTTTGTTATTTTCGAAAACGGTCGAAATGTATTCTGACATCAGCGCCAAGGGGCTAAGAACATGGATGGCCTTTATTTCTCTTCTTGTTTGTGCAGGTTATGTTCCCATTTGAAGCAGAGGCGACGGGTGAAATGTCACTGACGAAGGGTGACTTTGTAGTTGTCCGCCAGGTATGATTCTTTTTTCTTTTTTTTTCTTTTTTTTTCCTCCCATTGCAAGGAACATGAATATGGACGAAGCACAGAAATCCAGATTTCAAATTCACACTGAAGCCCAAGTAGTCAAAGCAAGAGCAGATAGCACAATGGAACCGAGTAACCATCCATTTGAGAACGATACAGAAGAATTGTGAGTCATTGTCCAAGCCCAACAGGGCAACACCAACTGCATAATCCAATGTAGCTCTCTCTCCTGAATGGCGCCAGGCGCCCTATCTACTCTACAGCCTAAGCCTACAACTACAGCAATGAAAGCAACCAGACAACTTG